TAGTTAGGGCTGGACCAGGTGACCCTGAATCCTCCCTTAGTTATGCTGCAATAGGCTGCTGGATGATGCACTGGGTGTTAGGGTTAGGTCTCACTGGCACCAAAGTGCTTGCTCATAGGGGGTCATATGATTGTTGGGTTTTTCTCTGCATGTATTATTGTAGGGTCTACCTTAGAATAAAAAGCTCCTTGATGCAACTGAAAATTGGATTAAGTTGACCTGATTGAGGCCGGTTGGTGAGAAAGTCTTTGATCCACTAGCAGGTGACAGGACGGATCTGGGATCGATGTTTGGGATCATGTTGTTGAATGCTGAGCTGCAGTCCATGAAGAGCATCCTCATGCAGCTCTTCCGGTTCTCCATTCATTGAGGCTGCTTTCGGGGGTTGGGTGCTCTCTCTGCTGTTTAGTGATGATAAGTTGGAAGTGATTGAGTGCTGAGCTAACATTAGCATTGGGGGGGGGGGATGTAAACAATGGTAGATAAAAAGGCCTCCAAGTCTGGTGGGCAGTGACTGTTTACACCAGTCCCGAGGCACACAGCCCACCACCCCGTCCTTACCAGAGTCTTTGTTGTGTGTGTGTGTGATTGTGTGTGTGTGATGGCCCAGAGGAACATGAAGCTGATGATCAAACTTCTTCCCGACATGTTTTCTTTTTGCTGTGTTTGAACCTTTGGGGCCACCGTACGCCATAGTTAGAAATATAAATGAATTCAACATGCGCACAGGTATAACTCACACAGCTGTGATTGGTCAGGGTTGGACCATGTGACTGAAAACAAGAATAAAGTCAACTGTTCACAGTTTCTATCAAAGATAAACGTGACGTCAGGCTTGATGATGTCACAGATCTGTCCATGCAGGATTCAAGGAGCTTTATTGTCATTTGCATCACATGTTAACATGAGGTGGAAAGAAATTATGTACACACAGCGAAAAGAAACCAAATAATGAAGAAATTTTTTTTTATTTTAAATAAAAAATAAATGAATAGTTGTTTTGTTTTTTAACAAACAGAATAACAAGTAATAAAACAATACATAAATAATACGATAAGTAGAGTGCAACAACCTGAGTACCAGTATAGAGTATGGGCGTAGAGTGTAGGTATAAATAAATACTTTAGCAGCAAAGAGCCTGATGACCAGCATTGATAAAGTGACAGTGTCGGCAAGAAGAACAAAAGTGTTTAAAGTCGCCGACAGGAAGTGTGAATATTAAAGATAAATGTCAGATTAAATGTTGTGAGATCATCATTATTTATCTTCGTGGTTTGCATGCAACCCACACTGAGAGTCTGCTCCAGGCTGCAGTGAGAGTCAGCGCCCCCATCAGGTGGCAGCTGGATTTCAGGCTGGGTGGAGCTGCTGGCTGATGAATAGGAGCAGCGTGGGAAGTGGTCCCGAGGAGGAGGGGCAGTCCACGTGCCACGTGACCGCTGCCTGGCTTTGAGCTGTGCAGGAGAGCAGGAGCAGAGGAGCAGAGGAGCTCCGGTAGCATGGAGCCCAGCACCGCCCAGGGGAGGGTGGTGAAGTCCGGTAAGACCCGGCCGCGGACAGAGCTGAGGATCGAGCTGTGAGGCTGTCAGCTGCTCTCAGATCAGATTCATGCTGAAGAAAGTCAGCTCCCAGCTTTTTGAATCTTTTACTCCACAAATGGAGAAACAAGCTCAGACTGACGTCATTCACACTTGTAATGCTTTTCACTAAAATTATCATTAAGATGTGACGTCATCTCTAGAAAAAACTTTAAAAATAAACAGGACTTTAGTTTGAGAGCTGGAAGTTTTAATTATCATCTCCAAAGTGGAAATAGAGCCTTCATCAGCTCTGTGTTTCTATCAGAAACATTTCTGCATGTTTGTGTTTGTGCTCAAGTTTGACTATGTGAGGCTCTGAGAGCACGGCTGATGGTGGTGGTGTG